CCCCCCCCCAACCCTTCCACTTCGCCTATTTTTGATGGCCTCCATTATGTCCGCTCAATGCGGAAGGGAGGCAGTCCCGGGCTCATTGAAGCCGAACATCGCTCAGGCCGGTCGTTGTCCAGCGACACGCTCGTTAGGCATTCTCATACCGTTGGGCCAGGTCTCGTGGGAATGAGAGAGAGGGAGAGGGGGGGGGGGCAGGAGAGAGGAAGAATTCGAATTGGAGAAAGAGAGAAGGGGGAGAGAGGAAGGAGGAAGGAGAGAGGAAGGAGGAAGGAGAGAGGAAGGAGTGAGGGGGGTTAGAAGATGAAGTCCAGGCCCCTCCCCCGGGGCGAGGCTTGAGAGCTCCTGCGGACGGGTGGGTAGGCACACCCGCCACACAGCTGAGTGGAGCGAGAGGCCTGCGCTGGTATAGCCAGGCGCTAGGCGCTCTCGCCTCGCGGGGTTAGTGAGTGAGCGTAAAAGTGAGAGTGAGCGAAAAAGCGAGAGTGATAGTGGGCGAACAAGTGAGAGTGAGTGAGTGAGTGAGTGAGTGAGTGAGTGAGTGAGTGAGTGAGTGAGTGAGTGAGTGAGTGAGTGAGTGACAATGCTCCATGGTCTGGTGGTCCGGCCGCGAGCTGACCGTGGGGGCTTTGCTCTTCTCTTGCAGGTGACGCCCGAGCGGGGCGGAGCGGGGGCGGCCCGAGGGGCGGCTAGCGGCGGTGCCTGTGGGCGGGGCAGGCGGGGCCCGGGGACGGCGCGATGCCCAAGCCCACGCCGGTGGAGGACCTGATGATCCCGCCGCAGGACAACAAGATCTGCGGGGTGATCTGCCTGTGCCAGCTGACGGCCGTGCTCAGCTCGGTGGCGCTCGTCTACCTGTCCGTGGCCGTGTACATGCCGTCGCTGCGCGCCTTCAACTCGGGCGTGGGCGAGGTGCCCGTCATGTGCACCACGACCCGCGCGCTGAACCGCGACAGCTGCGACTGGGGCACGTGCGGCGAGTGGTGCCTCAGCAAGTCCTCGGGGGCGTGCATCCAGATCCACGTGTCGCTGCGACGAAACGGCTCCAGCCTGCTGTTCGCAAACTGCAGCCACACGGCCAACAAGACGTGCTACGGCATCGACCAGGAGAACGCCAAGAAGAGCCGCTGCATCGCCGACGAGTGCAAGAACCTGACGGGCACCTTCAACTGCACGATGGGCACGTGCATCAACATCACGGACGCGTTTAAGTGCGAGTTCAGCGAGACAGACCCGCCGCTCAAGTGCTCCGGGCGGCGCGGCAAGATCACGTGCATCGAGATGGACGGGCTGCAGAACTGCCACCGCGGCATGTGCGAGCGCATCCGCCCGCCCTACAACTGCGACCGGCGCTGCGTGGACATCCCCACGCGCAACAAGAACACCATCATCCTGAGCGGGGACAAGGTGTACCTGTCGCGCTGCCAGCGGGCCGTCGTCAACGACTCGGACCAGGAGGTGTGGCACAGCCGGCAGGACAACATCCTCATGGCGAGCTGCCACACCATCCTCAACACGACGCGCGGCGTCGAGGCCACAGACTGCATCAACGGCACGCTCCTGGACAAGAGCGCGCTCACCGACCTCACCAACTTCACGTACCTGTCCCACCTAAGTGTGTGGAACCCTGTTCCGCTGGACGAGACGCGGCAGGTGGCGCCGCCCGAGCAGGACCTCGTCATCGCCAACGAGTCCAAGCTCCTAATCAACCTGGAGGGCTGCGTCAACACGCTGCGCGACGAGTGCCGCGAGTTCCTGCGCGACTACGGCAAAGACGGCACGGACCACAACGCGCGCGCGCGCTTCCCCTGCTTCTACGCCGAGTGGAACACGGAGATGGTCGTGGCGCGCTTCGACCTCGATGCCACGTACCGCGAGTTCGTCGTGGCCTCGGTGCTGCCCTCCGTCCTGTTCATCATCTCCTGCCTGACGCTGCTGCTCTGTCAGCGCACCGTCGAGGTGGGCGACGACGCCAAGATGCGCTTCAAGTGCTGCGGGACCTCCATCGCCATCAGCAAGGACGGCTCCCTCAGCGCGCTCGACACGGGCGGCCCCGACCCGTCGGCCCTCTGAGACCCCTCACGTAAGCGCGCCAGATAATCCTGCTTGGGACGCCAAATATCTGTTTTAATGTACACTGTGTCACCGGAAACAATCGGATATCGTGCTCGCCGCAACGAGTCGCGGACGCGCGAAAACACAAACACAGCGTGTCTGAGTCACTTGTGGCAAGGCCTTCGTAGATCGAAAGCAAGATAGTCTAGAGTAATAGCAACAATATTTTTGAAAAGACACAAAAAACGTTAACAATTCTTGTTAACCATAAACGGACCCTTAGTAAAGAAAATTTTCTATTTTATAGTTTCGAGCAATATTTTTTTAATATAGAAGTTCGCGCCGCGTCATAGCGCCCTCTCACTTGTACAATCTATTTTTCGACGCCATGTAGGCATTTCATGCAATTGAAGTTAGTGATTTTGAAGTTGGGATTATTAAGATTTGCGGCAAAAATAGTACGGAAATGGCGTAGACAGCGTACACCGAATATTGAACGTCTAACACGTACAGACGTAACGTAAGACGTAACGTAAGACGTAACGTAAGACGTAACGTAAGACGTAACGTAAGACGTAACGTAAGACGTAACGTAAGACGTAACG